GAAGAAACCTGACAATAGTTACTGGTTATGCATCGATTATCGCCCCTTGAACGCCGTGACGAAACACCTCGCCCTCCCAATGCAAAGCCTAGAACACCTCCTTGACTGCACCCACGGAACGGTATATGTTTCCAAAATCGATATAAGCCAGGCTTTTCACCACATTCCCCTAGATGATGAGAGTAAAGACAAGACTGCGTCCGCTATCCCCGGTCTTCCTCCGGGACTGTTCCAATATAAACGCATGCCCTTCGGGCTGAAGAACGGACCCGCAACCTTTCAGATGTTGACCGACATGATCGTCCCCACCCATTGGTCGTCAAACATACGCAAGTACGCCGACGACTTCCTGATCTTCACCCGGACCCTAGACGAACACAAATGGTTCATCTCCCAATTAATTAAACGGTTACAGGACAACAATATCACTATTAACGCAGACAAATGCGACTTCCTGACTGAACGATTAGAATTCCTAGGGTATTTGTTGACCCCTGAAGGATTAGCTGCTGACCCTGATAAAGTAGCCCCCATTACTAACTATCCCTAGCCCAAAAACGTTAAAGAACTCCAAAGATTCCTAGGGATGATTGGATGGTACGCTCGATTCCTCCCCTCCCTCTCAGACGACAAAGTGCCCCTACTCGGACTGTTACAAAAGAAAGATTGGAACTGGACAGACGAACATACCCAAGCCTTCCTAAAGTTAAAAAAGTCCATCACCACCACCCCAGTATTAGCCCGCCCCGATTTCGAAAAACCGTTCACCATCCAAACGGATGCGAGCGACGTTGCCATTGGAGCAGTCCTAACCCAAGAATCTGAATTCGGCTCAGATTGTACCCAACAGAACTCCCTAGGCGCCGACCGCCCCATTTATTTTGCCAGCAGAGTCCCCCCCCCCCCCCCNCGGGACTGTTCCAATATAAACGCATGCCCTTCGGGCTGAAGAACGGACCCGCAACCTTTCAGATGTTGACCGACATGATCGTCCCCACCCATTGGTCGTCAAACATACGCAAGTACGCCGACGACTTCCTGATCTTCACCCGGACCCTAGACGAACACAAATGGTTCATCTCCCAATTAATTAAACGGTTACAGGACAACAATATCACTATTAACGCAGACAAATGCGACTTCCTGACTGAACGATTAGAATTCCTAGGGTATTTGTTGACCCCTGAAGGATTAGCTGCTGACCCTGATAAAGTAGCCCCCATTACTAACTATCCCTAGCCCAAAAACGTTAAAGAACTCCAAAGATTCCTAGGGATGATTGGATGGTACGCTCGATTCCTCCCCTCCCTCTCAGACGACAAAGTGCCCCTACTCGGACTGTTACAAAAGAAAGATTGGAACTGGACAGACGAACATACCCAAGCCTTCCTAAAGTTAAAAAAGTCCATCACCACCACCCCAGTATTAGCCCGCCCCGATTTCGAAAAACCGTTCACCATCCAAACGGATGCGAGCGACGTTGCCATTGGAGCAGTCCTAACCCAAGAATCTGAATTCGGCTCAGATTGTACCCAACAGAACTCCCTAGGCGCCGACCGCCCCATTTATTTTGCCAGCAGAGTCCCCCCCCCCCCGAACGTAACTACACCGTCACCGAGAGGGAATGCTTAGCAGTTTTGTGGGCCAACCGAAAATTCCGCCCATACATAGAAGGAAGTCAATTCCGAGTGATAACGAATCACGCTAGTTTAAAGTGGCTATTAAATTTTAAGAACCCCGCCGGAAGATTGGCCAGATGGGCCCTAGAGCTCCAAGCGAATAACCCCACTATTATCCATAGAAAAGGATCCCTACACGTTGTCCCTGATGCCCTTTCCAGAGTTTGCCCGAACACCCTAGCCACCCTAGATCTGATCCGATCCGCCCCTGACCGATGGTACCAACAAAAGAAAATGGACGTAATGAGAGATCCCTGGAAATATCCCGACTGGACCGTCGACGAAGACACCCTATATTTCCTTAGACCCTGCCCCCAAATCGACCCCACTATGCCCGATCTTAACAGATGGAAGACCGTTCTTCCCCCGGGACTGCGATCCACCGTCATTCGGGACGCACATGACAGCCCCTACGCCGCCCACGGAGGAATAGATAAGACCTACCACCGCGTATCCCTATATTTTTATTGGCCCGGTATCTATCAGGATGTCGCAAAATTTGGCCGATCCTGCCCTCAATGTCAGCGATACAAATCCTTACAGACAGGACCCCGTGGTCTAATGCGAGAAAGAAGCATCGTCGAACCCTGGAGCATAGTAGCTGGCGACATTATGGGACCGTTTCCCCCTAGCCGAAACCAATATCGGTACCTCCTAGTCCTAGAAGACATGTTCACGAAGTATATCGAAAACAAACCGTTGAGGAAAGCAAATGCCAAAGCCATTTGGAAGACCCTGTATGAGAAAGTAACTTTGCGATGGAGTAAACCCCAGTATTTCTTAAGCGACAACGGCACAGAGTTCGTCGCAAATGACCTGGCTATCCGCCTAGTCCAACTGGGAATCACCCACATCACCACACCCCCGTATCACTCCCAATCTAACCCTGTAGAGCGAGTAAATCGATCCCTGAAACCCATGATGGGCATATACGCCGAAGAAAACCATCGTGATTGGGACCAGCATCTCCCTGAAATCGCATTCGCCCTGAACACTTCGATCCATTCCTCTATTGGAGTAAGCCCAGCGTTCCTGAATATGGGACGGATCCCACCACCCCCTAGCACCCTAGTAACTCCCCCAACTTCCGCTGAGACCCCAGAAATCAAACCCACTGGACCCTGGAAATCCCGACTCGAAAGAATGTCCCATTTTTACGACCTGGCCCGACGCTACATGGGTGAAGCGTTCGCAACCCAAGCTGCACATTATAATAAGAACAGAGCAGACTGAGAATACGCCGTAGGAGAGTTAGTGTTAAGGAAACACCGTTCCTTGTCCCAAGCAGTGAATTATTTCGCCGCCAAGCTTGCACCGAAATATGACGGCCCATACCTAATAGTAAATGCCCTCTCCCCAGTCATGTACACCCTAGAGGACCCTAGTGGAAACTCCCCAAAATTCATATAGACGACTTGAAACCATTTCACCCTCGACCCCCCCCCCCAGGTTCTGAAGNGACGACTTGAAACCATTTCCCCCCCGCCCCCCCCCCCCCCAGGTTCTGAAGATGCCCCGATACGAAACGAGAACGAAGTACTCGGTACCAGTGGGAGAGACCCAGCCACAGCCGCTGCCACCAACGCCACAGCAGAAAGAGATCATAACGATGATCCTCGAGACGAGAGAGGAGATTCGTTGGGAGAGGAGATGCCCCCAGCTGACTCACCCACTAGCCCCACAACAGCCCAGTATGGAACCAGCAGCCACCACAGCCCTAGAAACCCCGAAGAGCCCAGAGACCCCGCCCCATCTCGCCCTGAAGACGACCCCCCTCACCCTGCAAATCCCAAACGCCTTTGAGGTAGACCCCGCAGATGTGCCCCCACACCCATCACCAACCCTAGAGACCTCCGACCCATTGCTACCCGACTCAGACCCCGAGAAAATTGATCCCTCCACCCCAACACCACCATACCCACTCACAATCCAAATTCCATCCACCCCCACACGCTCCAACGCCCTCGAGATCAATCCCGCAGACGTGCCCCTGCCACCATCCCCAACTACCGAAACCTCAGACTCCTGGAACTCAGATTCAGACCACTCCCACGTCGATTTCCCCACTCCAAAACCACCCTCGTACCCTAAACCTACCCCTCCACTAACCCTACCCTTGATCTCCCTCGCCGTACTCCAGGTAGCATCCAAACCACCCTCCCAAGAAACCCCAAAGATGTCCCATGACACCTCACCCAAGAAATCCCAGAGCACCACCGCAGAGAAACTGCCACCCCCAGCCCCCGTCCCACATAACCTGCCATCCACATCCCACACGACCACAGTCACAATCGCAGTACCCTCCACACCCCATACTACCACTGTCACCACAGCAACACTCTCCCCAGTCTCACCAACACCCAAACCTAGCCTCCCGAAAAAGTCAATCCCTAGTCTCATGGCCCTGAACATCCCTCGGCCCCACACACTCAACCAACGCACCAGAGTGACCCCAGCCCCCAGATCTTCAACATCACGACGCATCCTTAGACCCCCCGGGTATCCCCAAGCCAGCCCTATCCCTCCAGATTCCCCCCTGCTCCACGATGGCTGCAGGAAATGCAATTCCCCTGACCACCGAGCCAAAGACTGCCCAATCAAGACTCGACGCTGCTTCTTCTGTGGAGATTGGCACGTCGATGTCAAGTCTTGCCCCAAGTGCCGGTACCTCTCCTAGATAAAAGCCCCCCCCCTGAACCCTCAGTTTGTTCTACTCCAGGAATACACCCCAAATGTCTCCTCCAATACCTAGCCTCATTGCCCACCATAAAAGGTGCAACACGCAACACGCGCTGAGCGGGACCGAGATGAGGTCAATGAGAATTGTCCGACGTAAACAGTCGATTTTTCTTTTGTACATTTTTTTTTCTCTTCCATTTTTCCTTTTCAATACATTATATTTTAGTTATTATAACATTATGAGGAGATTGAGAGAGGAGGTGTGGACGGTGACAACCCGGCCTGGTGGGAATAAACCTGTGTATAACATGTATCGTATCATTCTTTCATCCCATTATATAAGCCTGCTTCCGGCACGAGAGATCCAACATGGTAGCAGGTACGGTAAGAGTAGGAATCGATCCGCATAGAGTTCAAGAGTGAACCCTATGCGTTATCTCCCCCGGGACTGTTGTGACGTAGTGTATTGGCAATTCAAAAATTTCTCAGATTTGTAGTAGAAAATGCATGGAGTCTATTGAATAATTCGAAATCCTGAGTATACATTTTACAAAAATTCTGTAATTTGTATTTGACTTAATGCATTTTCTGGTTATAATTCAGGTGTCATTATTCACAGACTTTTCTTCAACAATTACTGACCACTAGAATTACTTGTATCCTTTATGTATCCATATCTAGAGGGTACAGCGTGGTAGCATCTCTGCGATGTTTCATCAAAACAGCATCCTATTCCCGTGCATTTTTCATACGTAGTTTGCCGGCCGGGTAAACAGTTCACCTGATAAATCGAAGGCACTTCACATGTTCCAGCCAAATCATTCTCATTTATTGTAAGAAAAAGCATCGTAACGTAAACACCAGTTACGAACAGTGTTCCCAGCAGAAACGTTGAAAGGACATATTTAGTGACTGGTGATAGTAGAATCTTATCCTTCCGTCTACCTAAAAGATGACAAAAAATAAAAATAAAAAGTCAATGAAAGTACTTTCTGAGTGGACTAACACTTTTTCGTGAATTTCTGATTAAGTCACTACCGTGGGTGAGGGGGTACTCATACGATTAAGAATTCTCGGCCGGTCAAAGACATTTTTTAAATTACTGAGATGCGCAAAGGCGAAAAAAATCGATTTACAGTAAGCCTCAATGTATTGCGAATAGTAAAAAGTTAATTTTGAAGGAAATGTATGCGCTAATAATTAATTATTAATGAAAATAAACTAGTTGGTCGAAGATACAGTACTCGGACACTCAAATCCGCAGTACGTAGGTACTCGCACGGCCAGAGCCGAAGAAGTCGGACGGCGCAATTGCCTATGTTCCCATTACAAGTTGAAAGATTCTTTTTATTCAAATTTTTTATTTAAATCATTAAATAATCAACAGGCTTCATATCATTTCATTTATGTTATACATTTTCATTTATGATATGCGTTTTGTTGGAGGACTTTGTGACGATCTCGTCACCGGTGGATTATCGATAATTCCTTTTTATATCTTTTTATCTTTTTTTTATCTTCCTTCTTTTTTATGTACTAATTTACCCCTGTAACAGATCACCCGTTAATACCTTCTCTCAATGTTTGGGATAATTTTTCATAAAAGAAAAGGGTTACAAGGTCTGAGACACGTGTTTAACAAGTGAGGTTAAATAACCGGTCCGAGTGCTGCAATAAGTGACTTTTTAACGTGGGGGGTACTCGGACACCAATTTTTTAATTATTCTACACGTTTTTCTCACTATTTACAGCTTTCATGACTTTTGTTATCCCTTTCTTTACAGTAAATAATTGTTTCACTGGATTTAGTACTGACATGTTCAGTTTTTAACGCGATGCAGTGGCCAGTGGAGCTAACCTGTATGCTTAGCAGTCAGGCCCGGAGATGTCATGTCCGGGTAGACCGCCATAAAATTCAAATTAAATACAGATCTCGCATTCAAATTTTGAAAGTTACGGTTAGGCCAAATAGATTAGACTTTTCTTCTTCCACCAGTATCAAATTGAGGATGGCAAAATGAAAATTAAAAATTGAAACATTGAATTTACAAAAAAATAGTGCCCTTCGTATGAGTACTCCGGCCCGTCCGAGTACCCTCTCACCCACGGTAATTGGGACAACGAAACGCGACGGTCAATCTATAAAAACAGCTCTTACAGTAGTGGAAATGCCACGACGGAGGGTTATTTGGCGTGCCATACTATTTCAATTGGCTATTTTTCGGTTTCGATGAAAATTGAATATGATGTAAGTGTTACAACCATGCCTTGCAATGTTATTTTAAAAAAATATTTGTTTGAAAGTTGTGAGAAATCTAATGTTTTAGGGTGGACCCGGTAAATGATCTTTTAAAAAATTATAACTCGATAAATAGGAATTTTATCGAAGAAGTGCAGAAAATTTTTTTATTCAAAACATGTGTAAGTGTCGAGGAAATAAATCCAGACTTGAAATAGTTGAATTTACACTGAGTTAATCATAAACAAATTGAAAGTTCACAACAAATCATGAAGGCAATTTGCGAAAAATTCTAAAAGATATAGGGTATAGAGTATAGTTCTCGCCACAAAAGAATGATTGTGGCTGGGTACCCCCACTCTCTCGAATTTAGCTCCGGCTCGATGTTCCCCACCACTCAGATCTAAGATCATTCTTTCCTAGCGACGACCATAGGTATCGATGAATTGCCAGCACAATTGGCATTCTCTAAGTCGCCAATAGATGTTTTTCTATGGATAGTCACCTTCACTCTCCCGAAAAGAATGCACGTAGCACTCATCACCCGATTCAACCCACCTCCATTTTATTACTAATTCGTGCATGCATAAGCATGCATGTATTAATAAAGGACAACGTAAAAGGTATCGCCCTGCGATCATCACTTAGTTCCGGAATCGGCATTAATCCGAAAAAATCAGGAAATCTTCCCTTTATTTTTCCGCAAGTATTGAAACCAATCAGATCATCAAGCAATTGTCATCAAATATTAAACTAACATCATTTGAATTTGCAGCTATGGTAAATCGAGTTAACTGACATTTTTCTTGTTGCGTAGATTTCAGTTTGAAGGGAGGATAACGATAATAATAGTAATGATAATTACAAAATAATAATCACGTAAATGTTGCAGTCTCCAATCCTTCATTTTTGTCATTTATTCTATTCATTCTATCGGAAGACAGATAGAAATCGAATTAATAAGTATTCTCTCATTATTCAAAAAAAATATCGATTTTAAAAGTTTCCGGAGACACTGATAAATTAAATTTTATTTAATTAAAATTTATTTAACTTAACTTCTCGTGAAAATGAGATCATAAAACTTGAAAATATTCATAACCTTCCCATATTTGAAGAAAAAACAGGAATTCCAAGTTTCCACCAACACAAATGACGAAAACCAATTTTTCCATTTTCTAGTCGATTACTGCTTTTAAAAAATTTTCAGTCTCCAATTTGTGATTTTTATGATGCAATGTCAGCCATTAGATTCATCATTAATTAGTAGTTAATTAGTAGAATTAATCAGTATTTTTTGATTATTCAAAATGATTTCGATTTTGGAACTTTTCGAAGCATTGAAAAATTAATTTTTATCACCGGCATGTTTTTACATTTTTTTTTATTCCTTCTCGCTGGAATTAGACGATAGCAATTAAAGATACTAATATCCCTCTAATACTTGAAAAAAAACGTGAGTCAAATTTTGCGCTGAGATAAATTTTTTTTTCATTCCATTTTTTAGTCGATTCTCCCTTCCGGATTAAATTTTCGTTTCCCTCCATAATAATTGGAATCTGACCAAAGCAATGAGGAGTATCGATATACGAGAGGGGTAGGTTCGGATGGAAAATAGGCCAATGAGTATTGCTTAAAAAACAAATAACGTAACTTGAAACACCGGAATTAATGCTGTGTAATGTATCGAGGTTATATTCATTTTAAAAAATAGGAAAACTATACATAATTGTCTCAAAAAAATATATCCGAAATAACGAACTTAAACCTTTAATTTCGCAAAAAAGAAATGCTAAATTAAATCAAAACAATTAATCTCAAAGAAAAACTTGGAGTAAGAGCACAATAAAAACAAATAAAAAAACAAAATAATCACATAAAAAAACATATTCTTCAATACTCAATAATTATTTAGCAAAGATCCAGAGGACAAATGATTAACGCGAACTTCAATCCTACGAGTCGAATACTCGTCAACGCCGCCAAATGGAATTAAATGTGAAACAAATCTCATGAAATCTAACACGCGTCCACGTCCAATGCAAAGAGAAAATCACGACTCTAGTCAACTCACGTTAACCAGCAACATTCTCACCGTTCCGCGCAAAACCCGGATAAAAAAAAGAAACGGACCCAAGATCGTACAGAATCGAATAGCCGAATACACTACCCGTATCCCCACGTTATCCGAACGCGAAATTCTCATAATTATTCAAAAAAAAGGAACAATTGAACTCCAGTATAATCCTCAAAAAAGTTCTACGGCACAACTCCGGATGGTTACGAAAAGCATGCGGTAATGCGAGTCGAAACCCAAAATCGCATCTAAACTTCTAGTTAGACGCAAAATTCTCCCCAGAGGGGCATCGCCCAAAGGCACTCTGCCCGAAGGCCATGGACTCGATGAGGGCTAGTCACCGACTCCTCACCGACTCTAATTCTTATTCGTACTCCACTCGACTCGACTACTCTACTATTCTACTACTCGAATACGCAAAAATCGCTCAATTTATACCTCAAAAGTGAAAAGAAAGCAAGTATCAAATGCCAGAAGATAGAACGAGAGTGTTATATCCACGTGGTGGGGTCAGCCGCTGTGACGTAGCAAATGTCCAGCGCTAGGTACGAAGAAGCTGCTAAAGGGACACGTCAACTTAATAGCCATAAACGTGTAATTTGATTCAGATTGAACCGACAACAGAACAGAACAACAGAAGAAAATGGAACGGAGTAAAATAGTGGTAATTAGCCCAAATAAGATCCACTAACTATCATTACCTCTTCGGGGCTGCATTCTAAAAGATTACCGGGGCAGAGACGCAACATACACCGCAACTATAACTCAACAGAATAGATAATGCACCATAAGACAAAATTTGATTCCCTAAAACGCATTGCGACCTTGGAAATTCACACGGTTGCAACGGTCGCGATTGACCGTGTGACGTTCCACCGAAACCCAAAACCGAAACTGCCTCATCCCGATAAATTCATACATTGAGCGCCAGCATTTCAGCCGGGCCCCCACATTTCCCCGAAGATTAAATGCAAAAGAGAATTTTCATCAATAATCGCGTAGCTCGATGATATTTTGACCCAAACAACGAAAATCTCTAGGTCCCCGATAGTTAACTTTATCAAAACTCCTAATACATATCTCGTAAATACTATCCGGAATAACAATAAATTTTCATCAACATAACCTCAATATGAACGATCACCGAACGGTTGCTAACACGATAATTTTTCCTGTCCAAAAATTCTTAAAAATAAAAGGATCTGGGTGTTTGTCTGACTCACGCTTAATCCGAAGTTCTCGATGGTCTATGGATCGCCTAAGGAATTCCCAGAATTCCTTACAAAATATATATAAATCGGAACGGTTCAATAATTAAGAAAATGTGGACGATTTCAGAACGGAATTGTTTGACAAAGTTTAATCTGCAAAACAGTCCAGGGTTTAAATAAAAGTTAATATTTAGCATCGTATCATTCACATGCGGTATAGTTTCCATGTGGTAGGTTGCCATGTTAAATTACCGAAAACGTTAAAAAAACGATTGCTGAGAAATACACAATATCCGATTATTACGAAACATTCGTCATACCAACCCGCGATGCATGTACCAGAACCCACTCTGGTGGGCTGTTCCCCTTGCGTCCTGTGGATATCCCGTTTTATCCGTTTTCTAACATTTTTCAAAATATATTTTAAAAAGAAGTGACCAGAAATGTATCTGATCCGACTTCTATGAAACAATGCTAGTACCAAGTCACACGAGATTATAAGATATGTATTGTTGTGAAATATTTCTTGTACATCCTATGAACGTATTTCTACATACGTTCCCGGAAATTTTTTCAAATGTATTGTATGAATGAATCCCTAGATATGTACTAGGTTAGATCGCAATCGAGTGGTCCTAGGACAATTCTCGTAGATACATACCGAAACGTTCTGAAATGGATTGTTTCCATAGAGTTTCGTCGAGACGTTCCAGATACAAATTGATGGGGACGTAATGAGTACTGACCAGGAATCATTCGCAGAAATGTTCCGCTCGACACTTGAACTAAACGTCCGGGATACATATATGTTCCGGAATTAACAATTATCGATACAGTAGAGTCTCCCTATTATTTTGGCCTTGAGACTGAAAATTCGGCGTACTGAAACTGCCCTGGGACCCCCCACTTTTCCGTGGAGAGCGTGACATGAGAAGGGAAAAATAAGGAGAGAGAGTGGAATCTGTCTGTTTCACTTTTCTTGTAGTGGGAGCAACCATAACCTCAACCTGTCAAATGAAATTAAATCCAGAGGGTGAAATTATTAGAATGGCTCTTTTGTCTGTTTAATTGTTTTTATTATCAAACACCACAGTGCTCTATCCATCAAGATGTTCACTGGTTTCATCAACCTTTTTCTTGATTGAGGAAGAACATTTTCGAGCTCGTTTTTCCATTTATCGAGTTTGTCTTTTTGTTTATTGATTTTCAGCAATTGCTGAAACTGGAGTCCCACGTGTTACCTCGTTTACGGCTTTTATTTTAATATGTAATTCCACTGAAACTGGAAATTTCCTTTTCAAATTTGTTTTCACCGGGGACATGTTGAGGTTATAAACGATAAAACACGAGGCTATACATAACACA